TATTTTCATAAGACATTGGACGCATTACGCATCTCGGAAACAGACTAAAGTGTTCGATACCGATTGGTGAGAAAGGAGTCAAGGTCTACCCACTTTTAAATAGCTGTTTTGTCAGATAAACCTTGTATCCACAGTGTCAGCGTTGAGTCTGGAAGACGATTAGAACAAAGAAAGACAAATATCGGATCCCAACTTCTGATATCGATCTCGTACATTAAGAGTGTATCAATACAGGAGTTGATATCACGTTGCATTGACTTGATGGCGCTAGCTGATTCGGATTTTTAAAATAGAAGATTTAATAAAACTTTCTGCTGACCATTCACAAGATTGCGCTTATTTTCGAAACCAGAACAAAGGTTCTGCCAGGCAAGCTGGAAACCTTGATTAGTCAAGAAAGCTCTTGGACTATATCACGTGCTTCGCCTTTATTCTTCTGGGTCAAATGGAATAAGCGCTCGACTGGACTGAGCCTGGAATTTTTGATGTACACGGCCGTGAATATGTCTCGGAATGTTGGCCATGACATTTAATCTCCATCAAAGACTTCGGTGTCACATGGTGGATTGTTAAAAGAATAGCCTGATATATGATTGGGATGAATAACAGAGGTAGGACTTTGGAATGGTAATGATTGCGGAGAAGTTGTGGGTTCTTTTGGATCTGCTTGAGACTGAGACAGAAGCTGAGTCAACTTGGCTAAGCATGTACAATAAGTCACGTACGTACTGTTGTACTTAGCTTAGAAGGTCTCCAACTCAGAAGCAGTATCTTCATCACTATCTTCCTCATCCCATTCATTTTCCCGATCGATCATGAATTGATCGAATATTGATTTCAAATTTTCCCATAGTGACTTGAATTCGGAAATATGAATTTTTATTAATTGGGAACACGTGAGAGAAATATTACCATCGCTGACACCTGCATTAAATGAGATCAGCGTTACGAATAAAGGAATCCAACGACATAATTTCTCAGAAATCGTAGAAAGATAATAACAATGTGATGTTCTCTATGCCTTTTTAGGGAAAAAATTAAGTATTTGCGGCCCTTTCAAGAAGTTTGCGTAGGAAAATATCTGCTCAAATATGCCGAAAATTAAAAAAAATTGGCGAAAAACGGAAAGTTTGTAATTATTTTCTCTAAGAAAAGCAACCTACAGCGGCGATAGGATGTACTAAAAGCTCAAAACAAGCAAAAAACTCTGAAAGTAAAACGAATTTCCTTTCGCAAGAAAATTGGGAAATTGTAAACTTTCAGGAATATTTTTCAATATCACGATCGACATCTGGCGGAAACAGGACGTACTATGACTAATTTTTTCGAATATGTAGACAGTATATCCAAAAGTCACAAAAAGCTTAAAAATTTTTCGAAAAAGTGTGAAAATTAATTATTTCACAGCTATCTTCTTATATAAAAAGCGACACCTAGCGAAGAAAACGAAACACCAACTAGAACAAAGGTTGGTGTATAGTCCCACCACTATATGTGCGAATAATATATGTGTCGCAAACTATGTAAAGTGCGAACATATAAACGGAACGACGGTAGCGTGCACGTATAAGCGAAGAGAACACTAACAGAAAATAACCAATCACTGTTGAGTGGAATGCACAACAGAGCGCTGCTTGTGTTAGAAAAATATATGTATGTACATATAAGTAACATATAATCATATTTATTAAGAGTGTTTACACTTTCTTTCAAACAAATCGGTTAAAATATTCTAGTGTAATTTTCGCATATTTTTTGTGTTGAATCTTTCGGATATCAACAAAAATTAAATTTTAAATATGTTTTCGACACCAAACATAGGTTTTTATTAATTAAAATATTATTTTTATATAAATATAATAAACCATATATATTCAAACAAAAAAGTTTTCATAAACAGTTTTTGAATTTAATTAGTTTTTGTTGTTTTCCGCAGCCGATTCATAATGTGCATCCAAAATTTTGGGGACTGCTACCAGGGTGTGAATTCCATTCATGTTCCCCTGTGGGTTCATTATACGCCAAGTTGTTCCACCGAACTTAATATATTTTCTGATGCTTCAGAAGAGGTATACGCGGGGTGATATATATTATATATATATTATTAAAATAAAGAAATTGTCTTCGAAATTATTAAGAAAAAAATTTTTTTGTTGTATAAAAACAACGTTTGTTTATTAGTGGAGAACGATGGAAATGTTTACCGCGGGGTAATATTATAGATGAAAGTGACTTTTTATTTCAAAAAATCTATTGTTCGACTTATTCTACGATCGTCCTATCCTGGCTGAACAAACGTCCATCTACGTGGACGACATTTGTTGCCAACCGTGTTAACAAAATTCAGGAGATTACAGACATAGGTAGTTGGCATCACGTGCGCTCTAAAAATTATCCTGCTGATATAGGCAGCCGGGGGGGTTTCGCCTTCCGAGCTTACCTTCTCTAATCTTTGGTGGTATGGACCACATTGTCTACGCTAAGGTAGTTTTCATTGGGATTTATAAAATTTTTCTCTGCTTGACACCGATACTGAAATTGACTCAAGATTTTTTTATAATTATGGTGACCCTCTAGAAGATTTCTCTTCTTTAGATATAGCTCTTCGAGTCCTCTCCCATCTTTTTAGATATTTCCACCGGACTAATCCTGCTCATAGGGGTCGTCACATTTCCCAAGAGAAGACCCTCACAAGTTCGGAGATTAAAGCGGTTAGATTACGTCTGGTAGTTTAAGCTCAAAAAGTACATTTTGCAGGTGAGTACCAGACTTTGTCATATAAGGTTCTCTTAAATGCAAAGTGTACTCTTTTAGTCTTAAATCCATTTCTGAAAGAATTCGGCGTAATTAGGATCAATGGGCGCTTGTCACAATCACCTACTCTGTCTTACACAGAGAGACATCCCACTATTGTGCCTCGCTAAAACGCCTACATCCTGTAAAAAATGTAATTTTTAAGTATTCTAAGAACAATTATAAATAAAAGTACACAGCCCACGACTGTATTGACATAAAATTCTAAATTGTTTGTTTTATTTTCTCAACTTTTCTCAAACATTTACATTGACGAAAACATTGATCTCATTGAGCTGCGTATCATGTTGGTGTTGTAGGAGCCATTGCTAATCGGGTTGTTGGCTCTTTTTATTGGCGAAACAAATCATCCATCTCACAATCCTTCCATCCATACATAACTTCATTTTTCAATATTTTTTCTCATAAAAAAACCAGGTACGTAAAGTGTTTTAAGGGAGAACAACGGAATTTTAAAGAGAAAGGCGAAAGTAAACAAGTAAAAAAGCAGTTAGTTCGGCCGGGTCGAACTTTTAATATCCTCCACCATTTGGAACGAATTAGAATATTTTCAAAAAATTAAATCCATTAAAAATTCTGTAAAAATCTTTAAAATATCTTATATCGGAAGGTGCTTTATGGGGGGATATACGATATTCTGGACCCCTTTCAGGGGTTAAAGTGCTCACAAAGAACTCCTTGTGTGGATTATCAGACAATTCCGTTGAAAAATGTGACTAAAATCATCAAAATACCGAATATGGGGGGGCACCGTTATATGGGGGCTATACAATATCGTGGACCTATATTGATTATAATCTTCTTAGGGATAACGTACCTACAAGAAACTCCTTGTGTGGATTATCAGACAATTCAGTTGAAAAATGTGGCTAGAATCATCAAAATACCGAATATCGGGGGGTACCGTTATATGGGGGCTATACGATATTGTAGACCTATATAGATAATTCTCTTCCGAGGTATAAATTACCCACAAAGTACTCCTTGTGTGGATTTTCAGACAACTCTGTTGAAAAATGTGGCTAAAATCATCAAAACACCGAATATCGGGGGGTACCGCTATATGGGGGCTATACGATATCGTGGACCTATATAGATAATTCTCTTCCAAGGGATAAAGTACCTACAAGAAACTCCGTGTGTGGATTTTCAGACAATTCCATTGAAAAATGTGGCTAAAATCATCAAAACACCGAATATCGGGGGTACCGTTATATGGGGGAGTTCACGGATAAGTGAACATGTTTTTATAATAAAAGAGAATAGCGGGGCTACCTAGTGTAGATGAGAGGGATTTGTTAAACTGGGATCTTCTTATAACAGTCCACATGAAATAAGATAAGAAAATGTGGTGAGCAGACCTTCGAGTTAGAAATAAATAATACAGAATTTTCAATTGCTGCATGTGTTATGGTGGAGTTAGATTATGGGATGTAATCTTTACTCAGACTGATAAGCAAGTGCAGCATGTTTGCTTGCCACATGTGAGATAGCTATGCGTGTGTATGACCTCCCCCTAAGGTTTATGGTGGCATGGTGCATATGCATGTGTACGGTTGGTATCTATCTCTCTCTCTCATTTACACTTAATTATAATTTAGGTTAAGTCATATTATCACAACTAGTTCTTAAGAAATGTTTTTAATAAATAAATTCAGTGTCTTACAAACGCTCAAACGGAAAAGACGTTTGGTCTTTTAATTGATCCCGGTTTACATTGGTCCACCGAGCCGGATCGGTAGAGGATAAATGTTGAAGAATTTGCCTTAACATCGAGGAAATTCTGTCAGGCTAAAATTGGTCTTCAAGAATGGAAAATTACCAAGCTAAAACTACAGCTGGAATATGGGAACAATTCCAGAAGAAATTTATAAGCCAAAAAAAAAGGATGCTGAGTCAGAAGGAGACTTCAGCACAGAAGACTGTGGTGGCGGTGCACACCGAGGAGGCTTCATATTTGAAATCTTCAGACAGAAGGGGTGATGCATATGCCCAGGAGGACGAATCGGTGAACGACCACCAATGATGAAAATAAAGGAAGAGGCTGCCACTCTTCTCGAAATTATGGGTACAATTATGGAAATAGTGAGTACCTTAAAGACGTATTTGACTTTGCCAAAGAAAAAATTATGGACGCGGCAAGAGACGTAATATTGTATTCAGGCGTTCATAGGCGATTTTTAGAGATGCTTCTAAAGAAGTCCAAAATAGCCTCTGCTATCAGGGCAAGTCAGCCGAATGGGACAGCGAGGCTGTATTTGGAAGATGTTAAGATCATCCTTAAAGTCACGCAGGCTCTTAATGTGGAGACCAAAGAGAAAGTCCTTGGCGTGAAGAAACAAGTGGCCTGCATAACATCCAAATTGGACGTCGAGCGAGTGGGGCGCGAAGCAGCGGTAGCAGCAATGAGAAAAATGGAAGGTGATATTAAGGAAATGGAGTTTGCCTTGATTTCACAGAAAGATGAAAAGGAAGATGCCCTCAAACTTGTCTCCAAATTGAAGGAGGAAGTCGAAAATGCTGTGTGTGTAGCCGAGGATACTAAGGACAAATTACGAGCGGCTAACCAGGAGGCAGAACGCGAGAGCAAGGCGTTGAAGGCGGTAATAAGACTACTTAGTGATGAGTTGTCTTGTGCAAAAAGAGAACGACTTGCAGCTGCAACCGAACGTGACGGGTTGGCTGCAAATCTAGAAGCTGGTGAAGAAAAAGAAAGAAGGATATTTCTGCTGGAGGCTGAAATATTGCAACTTAAGGAAGAGTTGCTCATATCGCAGAAAACATCCAAAATCGAGGCTGATTAATTGGCTGCAAAATTAGTGGTCAATATCAACGAAGAAATGATGGTTGAAAAGGTTTATATGGAAGACCCAATTGCCAAAAAGGAATCAACTTTGGAAAATGTAGATGAACAGCTCTCTGGAAAACTGGACACAGGGACATTGGAAGAAGTCGAAGATAAACTGTTTGCCAGCGAGATGAAAACTAAGAAGAAAAGCAATATGCGTCGCTGGAATAATAAAATGCTGGAAGACGGTCAAGTTGTGATGAAGATGCCTAGTGGAAGGGGTGCAGCGAATAAAATACAAGCCGAGGTGACAGAAAATTATGAACGCTGGAACCATAAACTGTCCAAGGTCGGTGAGACGGCGCTTCCAGAGAAGGATGGAAACTTTCGCTACAGAAAGAAGACGACAGATAAAAAGGATTCGGCTTGGAAATTGAAGCCGGCAGATAAAGGAGGAGGGATGTTCAAGAGAGCCAGGCTGGATAGATGGAGGAGTTACTTGGGTGCTATAACTTAACTTCTTTTCTCTTAAAATGTCACTTCTATTAGATCTATTTTATTGTTCATATTTGTAATTTTTATATTTTATATGTATTTTTGCCCTTGCCAAGAATGTTCACGGATAAGTGAACATGTTTTTATAATAAAAGGGAATAGCGGGGCTACCTAGTGTAGAGGAGAGGGATTTATTAAACTGGGATCTTCTTAATACAGTCCACATGAAAGAAGAAAAGAAAATGTGGTGAGCAGACCTTCGAGTTAGAAATAAATAATACAGAATTTTCAATTGCTGCATGTGTTATGGTGGAGTTAGATTATGTGATGTAGTCTTTACTCAGACTGATAAGCAAGTGCAGCATATTTGCTTGCCACATGTGAGATAGCTATGCGTGTGTATGACCTCCCCCTAAGGTTTATGGTGGCATGGTGCATATGCATGTGTACGGTTGGTATCTATCTCTCTCTCTCTCTCTCTCGTTTACACTTAATTATAATTTAGGTTAAGTCATATTATCACAACTAGTTCTTAAGAAATGTTTTTAATAAATAAATTCAGTGTCTTACAAACGCTCAAACGGAAAAGACGTTTGGTCTTTTAATTGATCCCGGTTTACATTGGTCCCCCGAGCCGGATCGGTAGAGGATAAATGTTGAAGAATTTGCCTTAACATCGAGGAAATTCTGTCAGGCTAAAATTGGTCTTCAAGAATGGAAAATTACCAAGCTTAAACTACAGCTGGAATATGGGAACAATTCCAGAAGAAATTTATAAGCCAAAAAAAAAGGATGCTGAGTCAGAAGGAGACTTCAGCACAGAAGACTGTGGTGGCGGTGCACACCGAGGAGGCTTCGTATTTGAAATCTTCAGACAGAAGGGGTGATGCATATGCCCAGGAGGACGAATCGGTGAACGACCACCAATGATGAAAATAAAGGAAGAGGCTGCCACTCTTCTCGAAATTATGGGTACAATTATGGAAATAGTGAGTACCTTAAAGACGTATTTGACTTTGCCAAAGAAAAAATTATGGACGCGGCAAGAGACGTAATATTGTATTCAGGCGTTCATAGGCGATTTTTAGAGATGCTTCTAAAGAAGTCCAAACTAGCCGCTGCTATCAGGGCAAGTCAGCCGAATGGGACAGCGAGGCTGTATTTGGAAGATGTTAAGATCATCCTTAAAGTCACGCAGGCTCTTAATGTGGAGACCAAAGAGAAAGTCCTTGGCGTGAAGAAACAAGTGGCCTGCATAACATCCAAATTGGACGTCGAGCGAGAGGGGCGCGAAGCAGCGGTAGCAGCAATGAGAAAAATGGAAGGTGATATTAAGGAAATGGAGTTTGCCTTGATTTCACAGAAAGATGCCCTCAAACTTGTCTCCAAATTGAAGGAGGAAGTCGAAAATGCTGTGTGTGTAGCCGAGGATACTAAGGACAAATTACGAGCGGCTAACCAGGAGGCAGAACGCGAGAGCAAGGCGTTGAAGGCGGTAATAAGACTACTTAGTGATGAGTTGTCTTGTGCAAAAAGAGAACGACTTGCAGCTGCAACCGAACGTGACGGGTTGGCTGCAAATCTAGAAGCTGGTGAAGAAAAAGAAAGAAGGATATTTCTGCTGGAGGCTGAAATATTGCAACTTAAGGAAGAGTTGCTCATATCGCAGAAAACATCCAAAATCGAGGCTGATTAATTGGCTGCAAAATTAGTGGTCAATATCAACGAAGAAATGATGGTTGAAAAGGTTTATATGGAAGACCCAATTGCCAAAAAGGAATCAACTTTGGAAAATGTAGATGAACAGCTCTCTGGAAAACTGGACACAGGGACATTGGAAGAAGTCGAAGATAAACTGTTTGCCAGCGAGATGAAAACTAAGAAGAAAAGCAATATGCGTCGCTGGAATAATAAAATGCTGGAAGACGGTCAAGTTGTGATGAAGATGCCTAGTGGAAGTGGTGCAGCGAATAAAATACAAGCCGAGGTGACAGAAAATTATGAACGCTGGAACCATAAACTGTCCAAGGTCGGTGAGACGGCCCTTCCAGAGAAGGATGGAAACTTTCGCTACAGAAAGAAGACGACAGATAAAAAGGATTCGGCTTGGAAATTGAAGCCGGCAGATAAAGGAGGAGGGATGTTCAAGAGAGCCAGGCTGGATAGATGGAGGAGTTACTTGGGTGCTATAACTTAACTTCTTTTCTCTTAAAATGTCACTTCTATTAGATCTATTTTATTGTTCATATTTGTAATTTTTATATTTTATATGTATTTTTGCCCCTGCCAAGAATGTTCACGGATAAGTGAACATGTTTTTATAATAAAAGAGAATAGCGGGGCTACCTAGTGTAGAGGAGAGGGATTTATTAAACTGGGATCTTCTTAATACAGTCCACATGAAAGAAGATAAGAAAATGTGGTGAGCAGACCTTCGAGTTAGAAATAAATAATACAGAATTTTCAATTGCTGCATGTGTTATGGTGGAGTTAGATTATGTGATGTAGTCTTTACTCAGACTGATAAGCAAGTGCAGCATGTTTGCTTGCCACATGTGAGATAGCTATGCGTGTGTATGACCTCCCCCTAAGGTTTATGGTGGCATGGTGCATATGCATGTGTACGGTTGGTATCTATCTCTCTCTCTCTCTCTCTCGTTTACACTTTATTATAATTTAGGTTAAGTCATATTATCACAACTAGTTCTTAAGAAATGTTTTTAATAAATAAATTCAGTGTCTTACAAACGCTCAAACGGAAAAGACGTTTGGTCTTTTAATTGATCCCGGTTTACATTGGTCCACCGAGCCGGATCGGTAGAGGATAAATGTTGAAGAATTTGCCTTAACATCGAGGAAATTCTGTCAGGCTAAAATTGGTCTTCAAGAATGGAAAATTACCGAGCTAAAACTACAGCTGGAATTGTTCCCATACAGAAGAAATTTATAAGAAAAAAAAAAAGGATGCTGAGTCAGAAGGAGACTTCAGCACAGAAGACTGTGGTGGCGGTGCACAACGAGGGGGCTTCATATTTGAAATCTTCAGACAGAAGGGGTTATGCATATGCCCAGGAGGACGAATCGGTGAAACGGCCGCCAATGATGAAAATAAAGGAAGAGGCTGCCACTCTTCTCGAAATGATGGGTACAATTATGGAAATAGTGAGTACCTTAAAGACGGAAGAAGCCATAGAAGGCGTATTTGACTTCGCCAAAGAAAAAATTATGGACGCGGCAAGAGACGTAATATTGTATCCAGGCGTTCATAGGCGATTTTTAGAGATGCTTCTAAAGAAGTCCAAAATAGCCGCTGCTATCAGGGCAAGTCAGCCGAATGGGACAGCGAGGCTGTATTTGGAAGATGTTAAGATCATCCTTAAAGTCACGCAGGCTCTTAATGTGGAGACCAAAGATAAAGTCCTTGGCTTGAAGAAACAAGTGGCCTGCATAACATCCAAATTGGACGTCGAGCGAGAGGGGCGCGAAGCAGCGGTAGCCGCAATGAGAAAAATGGAAGGTGATATTAAAGAAATGGAGTTTGCCTTGATTTCACAGAAAGATGAAAAAGAAGATGCCCTCAAACTTGTCTCCAAATTGAAGGAGGAAGTCGAAAATGCTGTGTGTGTAGCCGAGGATACTAAGGACAAATTACGAGCGGCTAACCAGGAGGCAGAACGCGAGGGCAAGGCGTTGAAGGCGGTAATAAGACAACTTAGTGATGAGTTGTCTTGTGCAAACAGTGAACGACTTGCAGCTGCAACCGAACGTGACGTGCAGCTGCAAATCTAGAAGCTGGTGAAGAAAAAGAAAGAAGGATATTTCTGCTGGAGGCTGAAATATTGCAACTTAAGGAAGAGTTGCTCATATCGCAGAAAACATCCAAAATCGAGGCCGATGAATTGGCTGCAAAATTAGTGGTCAATATCAACGAAGAAATGATGGTTGAAGAGGTTTATATGGAAGACCCAACTGCCAAAAAGGAATCAACTTTGGAAAATGTAGATGAACAGCTCTCTGGAAAGCTGGACACAGGGACATTGGAAGAAGTCGAAGATAAACTGTTTGCCAGCGAGATGAAAACTAAGAAGAAAAGCAATATGCGTCGCTGGAATAATAAAATGCTGGAAGACGGTCAAGTTGTGATGAAGATGCCTAGTGGAAGTGGTGCAGCGAATAAAATACAAGCCGAGGTGACAGAAAATTATGAACGCTGGAACGATAAACTGTCCAAGGTCGGTGAGACGGCGCTTCCAGAGAAGGATGGGAACTTTCGCTACAGAAAGAAGACGACAGATAAAAAGGATTCGGCTTGGAAATTGAAGCCGGCAGATAAAGGAGGAGGGATGTTCAAGAGAGCCAGGCTGGATAGATGGAGGAGTTACTTGGTGCTATAACTTAACTTCTTTTCTCTTAAAATGTCACTTCTATTAGATCTATTTTATTGTTCATATTTGTAATTTTTATATTTTATATGTATTTTTGCCCCTGCCAAGAATGTTCACGGATAAGTCAACATGTTTT